TGGCATACTGACATCACCCTCACAGCTGCCAAGTCCCCCTTGCTCTGAGGGGCACTCTCTCATTTCACATTAATTAGAAGGCCATTTTCCAAGCATTTCCATCCCATAATGAAGGGCTTTCTACAGTGGCTCAGTGAAACATTAAAATATCTGACTTGGAATCTTAAAAGAAAAAAAAAAAACCATCCTGCCTGCTTAGTCTGTATATTGTCTAACCTTTCCCACTCCATCGGGGAAAATGAGTTCAGCTTGTCTCTGATGCTGGTGCAGGAGGAGGAGTGCAGTAGGGGAAAAGGGCCACCCCACTGCCATGGAACACTGACCACTGTACTGTCTTCTTCCCCTCACATGTGCTTCTGATGGGGACTTAGAAGAATGGGAGAAAGGAAAAGATGGAGAGAACCTGGAACACAGGATGTGTTCATAGGTGGAACAGTCCACCTATGATAGACGGCCATGTTCGTGGCTCCTGGCGCACTACCCCTCCCAGTATTCACCTCTTTGTGTAGTCCTCCTCCATACTGACTCTGGGCCTGCTCATGTGACTTGCTTTGACCAAGGGGGCCTTGGCCAGGCTGGGTAGGCACATGCATATTGTTCTCTTGGAATGCTTACCCTTGGGATCCAGCCACCATGCCAAGCAGCCCCAGCTAGCCATGTGGAAAGGCCATGTGCAGATATCTTATGGAAGGCCCCAGCCTTCCAGGCATTCCTGCCAAAGAGCCAGACATGTGAATAAAGTGACTGCAGTCACAAGAGCTAACCCAAGCAAGACCAGCAGGAGATCCACCCAGCTGAGCCCTAATCAAGCCACAGAATCATGAAAAATGATAACATCATCTTTCTTGAAGCCAAGTTCTGTTACGCAGCAATGAAGAATCAAGGTATTCCATTATTTCCCAGTAGCTCCAAGGTCAATGTCACATTTCCTGGTGTCCTCCATGAAAGTTACCCATATCTGCTGACCTACTGGAGGCTTCCACTGTCACCTTTTTCCTACTCCGCAGTCAGTTGGGTTTCTGCTAAACCATGGCATCTACATTTCTCATGCGCTAAATCGTGATTATCAAATGTCTCACTCAGTCATGTACCTTTACTGTGGTAATAAACCAGGGCTCCGGGGTTAAAAGGATATAGAATAAAATCTCTTTTGATCCACCCTGGGTGGCAAAAGGTGTGTTTGTGTAAGGCTCAGTGTGGATCCTGAGAAGTGAAGTTCAAATTACCAATGATTCTAAATTTTGCAAACATATACACATATATAGGGAATATGTATTACACAATTTCTTGGTTTATGCTATATCACAAACTGAGTATTGAAAGGCTGTTTTACTATGTAAAAGTCCTTGCTATAATGAATTAATAAGGATGCTGTGCAATCAACATATTAATTGTATGTAAATGGTGTTTTTTAAATGCTTTAAAACAATTTATTCCCCTGAGCATTTTAAATAGGCCCCCTGGAAAGTTGTTTATGTAGTCATTTGCTTGGCGAACTTCTCTCTCCATGCGGGTTCCTTTTACCCACAAATGAATGGGAGGAAACCCTGCTGCCCCCTTCCTCCTTGTTTCTAGGACCCAGGAGCCAGCGTCCTGAGGGTAGTGGCCCAGGATCTGCCCATGTGGTTCTCAAATCTGATTGCTTGTTCTTTGTCTCCGATGTGTCTTGTCCTTTCTCTCAATTAATGTCTATCCTGTGTGGGGTCTGCATAACATTAAAACATCGGTAACTATCAGAGACGGAAAAGAATCAATCAGCCCACTAACAACTGCTCATGTCCCCATCTTGGTAGAAGGAGAAAATTGCTCCTGCCAGACATCCCATACGTTCCCAAGACAACCATCAACATTCAAATGCCACAGTCACTCTGTACGTTCCCATCAACTAAAACAGTAAACTAGGAATAATATAGCACCAAAACAAGAGATTTGGTAAAGAAAATGCATGTATTTAAGACACAGAAAGATGGCCAAGCATGGTGGCACATGCCTGTAACCTCAGCACTCAGGAGGTTGAGGTAGGAGGATTACAAGTTCGAGCCCAGTCCGGGTAATTTAGCAAGACCCTGTCTCAAAATAAAAAATAAAAAGAATTGGGAATGTACCTCAGTGTGAAAGCTTTGGGTTCAATCCTCAGTCTCTCTCTCTCTCTCTCTCTCTCTCTCTCTCTCTCTCTCTCTCACACACACACACACACACACACACACACACACACACACCATGGAAAGAGCCACTTTTCTGTTTTATTTTCAGCTGGGTGTCAAACAAACTAACCTGATTTCCAAATTAACCCAACCTCCCCAGGGACTTTGGTTAAGCAAGACTTCCCATAAGGCCTGGTGTAAGGCAGCCCTGTTGTCCATCTCCCTACAAGCCCTCCTGGAAGTATACTACTGTTTTGTCCCTTGAGGTACATTTGAGCTGAGTAGAGGAAGGGCGCAGGGTTCCCTTTTTTGAAGAATGTTTAGAATTCAGTGCCTCTCACCTGGATGTTTCAGAGTGGTCTCCAGGAAGTTGCCCTAAATCTTTCTTTTCCCCACTAATATACCTCGAGTTGACTGTGCTGATTTTCCTCGGGTTCCCAAGAAGCAGGAGCATGAAGCTTGAGAGAGCCTTTAATAAAGCCACTGCACATCATGACCTGGGGCACACATCCCAACTGCAGCTGCCTTGGCAACAAGGGTGACATTTGCAATATCTCGGCCAGGAGTAGCTCGAAGGAGAGTGGAGATGGAAATGCAGCATTCCTATGGGCTGTCCTTGCACACTCCGGGGTAAGTACAAGACACTTGTCACCTGTTGCTGGGGCCGAACTCAGATTGATGAGGTTCATAAAGGCGTCAGGTCACTTGGTTTGAGCCGTGGCAGTAGGCCTGCTTCCAAGCCTGGACCTTGGATGGGTCAAGCAGCAGTTTGCTCTAAAGGTGTACTTTTCCTGGCCTCCTCTGGACTGCAGGGAATCACAGCCCCTCGCTCCTTGGCCCTCAGTCTTGTACTTGGCCAATGGGAGGCACTGGCAGATTAAGGATAGGAGAGGAGGAGAGACTTTGGTATTTCTTCCCTTCTGCTTTTTTCTGTGACCTGCCCAGCACTGGCAGTGGCCTTTTGTGGCTCTGCCTCAGCCCAGATGGTCCCTTCCTTCACAGCCCCACATGGCAGATGGACCTGGTTTCTGGCTCCAGGAATATTCTCTCTTCCTTTAGCCCTCCCACCCTCAGGTGGCAGCAACTTTCTGCTAGTAGGACACTCTGGATCACCTCGCCTATGTGGCTTCTCAGCGCTTCCACCACCTGTGTGACCAGCTCCCTCTATTCCATCCTCTCTGCTGAAAGACCTAGTGTGGTGTCCATAGCAGCCATCACTGCTCTCACCCTTACCTAACTGAACCAAAACTGTGTCTGATTTTTCCCACAGCCAAAGTTCTTGCATTGAGTTCAGGCGCCAAGGACAAACGATCCACAGGGAAGTGTGGCCAGCTTTGTACTGCAAAGCTCAGGAAACCTAAGGAGTACAGGTGGATGTGGGACGGTGACAAGAGCCAGATGCTGCTGTCAATATAGTCACTCACAGTTGGCCATAGCCGTGCCCTGAACAGCAGTGTGGAAACAGCTCCAGATTTCCCAAGGTACCTTGTCCACAGAGCTGAGGACCAGGTTGGTGCATTCTGCCCTTCTGTGAGATTCCAATCTCAGCTCCCCAGCCTCTCCACCCAAGGCCCTCCCAGACAAATGGCAGCATCTGTGCCTTCCAGCTGGGCAGGCTGGTATGCCATTCCTTCCATCTTGGCAGCCACTCTTCCCTTGCTACCCTGTGCCCAGGGCACAGGATTTGCAACACTTAAGATCTAAAGAACATTTGCAAACTGGAACACAGGGAAAGCCAAAGTTTCGTAAGAAAACAATGAAATCATGGCAGAGTCATTTGGAGTCTCTACATAGGGGCATTGGAGAGCGCAGTGTCTCAAGTTCATCAACAGGTTACCAACTGGCCACCTAATGCATTTTGTAAAAGCCAGTTGCTTCAGCTCCCCACTGCCCAATCGGAAGGGAAGCAGGCTTGAGCAAGGTCCTGAAGCCCCTCTGCTGCACCTGCTAGCAACCTTTTCACTTTGGAGTGGAGGAGGGAGGGTGCAGCGTGGAAGAGGGGTATTTGGGGAGTCAGCTGGCTGCTGCCCAAGGAGCACAGAGGGATTTTGATATTTTACCACGAGCTAAGACCTTGCTGGAGCAGGTGAGCTGTGTATGACCCGAGACAGGGCCTCCTGGTGGGAAGCCACGGGGACAGATGGTTGCTGGCTAATTCATTCTCCAGGCGCCCGGGGAGTGCCTGAGAGAGAGGGAGAGAGAGGAAGAGGAAGAGAGAGAGAGAGAGAGAGAGAGAGAGAGAGAGAGGGAGAGAGAGAGAGAGAGGCCCCTGCTGAACAGACACTGCAGAGGCATGGCCTGGCTCGTGGAGATGTCTTCCCCACAGGGAGGACAGAATGATTTGCGCCAGCAGGCTTGCTCTCTCCCTGGCCCCATGCCTGGTCTCTGAGGTGAATTTGTGAGCAGAGGGAGGAGGCCTAGGGCCCCACTGGCTATTCTGTGCAAAGCTAAGTAGCCTGGGGGGCTGGGAAGAAGACCTTGACCTCAGGAGCCCTAAACCGTGGCTGACAGCAGACAGCAAGGGGGCCCCTTGGGAATGGCACTTTATTGAGGGACATTTGTCTTCATTTGGAGCAGTCTACATCTCATCCCAGAGGCATGCCCTGAGGTGTGAGTCTCCCTGACCCCTACCCAGACTGTCCCTGCACCGCACTGTCCCCGAGCTGCATGGAAGGGGAAGCTGCCTCTTAAAGCTCCTCAGAGCCAGGGACACAGATGTCAGCGAAGAATAACAGGAAAGTCCCTGTGGCATCCAGAATGCTCCCGGGAACCTCCCCCCAGGAAAAGAGACCCTGGGCAGGGGCACACACCTCACAAGCTTGGCCCCCAAAACCCAAATCCTCCTAGGCCAATAAGTCTGGAAATTCAAAACTTATATTCAGCATAAAAATCCTAGATTCAGCTAATAAAAAAATATGTTCCTCTGGTTTTCAGGATACAAACTGAAGAAGTGAATCTCCTGGAAATCCTCCTGGCTGGTCGGGAGGCACCATTCTCTCGCATGGAATCAGACTCTGGCGGGAAGGACTCTGCAAAGGCGCTGTAGTATCTGAAAATATCAATGCGCAAGATTTAGGTGGGTTTTTGTTGTTGCTGTTGTGTTTCGGGGAAAAGTCTGTATTTAAAACAGCCTAGATGCCGCCACTAATCTGCAGAGCTGTGAACCAATCATTTCACCTCTCTGTGCCTCATTTTCCAAATATTAAAATAAAAAAAAAAAGCCAGATTGCCTGATCATCAAAGGTGACGGGAGCATCAGAAGCGGAGAGGCCCCAAGTCGACTACAGGCCCACCTTTCTGACCCAGATTCCTAACTCGGTGGTGCCGGGGGCAACCTGGCAGGCCGCGGCTGGCTACCTGGGAGGAGGGGCGGCTGGCGCCGGGGGTGGGGGCAGCGAGGGACTGGATGCCCCCAGCTGCAGGCAGGTTGGGCGGGTCGTCGCGCTAAAACCCAGGGCCGAAGGGAGCCGGCCGCCGTGCTCGCCGGTCCCGCTCGCAGGATTCATTTCCATCTGGAGCGCGGGTGCCCCAGCCGCCCTTATCTCACCGCCGCGGCTCTGCAGGCGCGGGCGTCCCGGGCTCCCCTCCCCCTCCCCCTCCCCCTCCC